GAGAAAGATTCTTGTTTGTTAATTGAAGAGAATGATATATGTTTGTAAATAAAAGAGAAAGATATGTGTTTGTTGATTAAAGAGAAAGATACGTGTTTGTTGATTGATTAAAGAGAAAGATACTAAAGAGAAAGATATGTGTTTGTTGATTAAAGAGAATTAGTCTTATTATTGTTTGTTGTTCTTACTTGTAGATATTGAACATCTGTTAAAGACTTGAGAGAGAATATTTATTGTTTTGGTTGTTTTTTTCTTGTAGATATTAAAGACTTAAAAGAGAATAAATTAATCATATTGTGTTGATATTCTTACTTTTAGATATTGAACATCTGTTGAAGGTGTAGGATTTTTCACACTTTAGGTTTTGGTAGGAAGTAGATGAATTTCCATCTATTGTCGAAACAGGGGGAAGTAAAATACAAAAGTATGTTTTATTTGGCTGTTGCGTTCTATAAATTTTCTATATTCCTTTTATCGCTTTTGTGATGGTGTTTGTATTTCGTGGATGGTTGGCGGGTGCTCTGGTGTAGACTACTCCTTCTTTCCAATCAAACATCTATCGTCCTTATCTCTCCTCCTTATTTTTCGTGTTTGTTACTCTCTTGTAACACCTCTGATCTTTGGTACTTATATGACTTTTTTGTATTGCAAGTTCCGTAAAACTCTTACTGGAAAAAACGACTAAAGTGTTTGTATTTCGTGTTTGTATTTCTTATATTTATACATACGTATTTCTCCTCCTGTTTATAAAGGTTATTTTCATTAGGTTTTTTGTTTTGTTTTTTTCCCTCACTTTCCAGTACATCCACCGCGACCTGGCAGCGAGAAACGTGTTGTTGGCCGAGGATAACGTTGTGAAGATCTGTGACTTCGGCCTGGCCAAAGACCTGTACAAAGATCCTGAGTACCACAAGAAGGGAGATGTAAGTACCAAACAGCTTTGTGGGTTGTTGGTGGGGTGGTCTGCTCCTTCTTTATTTTTTTTATTTTTTAAAATCGAACACCTATCTTACTTCTTTTCTTTTTTTTCCTCCTTCTTTTCTTTGCATGCCACTCTTTGGCACTTATATATAACTTGATTGTGGTGCAAGTGCTGTAAAGCTCAAACTAAAACTGAAACAGTTTTCTGCACTGGACAAGTTTCTAATCATTCAAAGTTCAATTTTTTTTCGGCTGTTAAAACAATTTAGTTGTAATTAATTCGCAATCCAATGAATTATGTTGAGGGTATGGAAATAAAACAGCTTTTGTAGTTGGTATAGGAAGATTGTAGTGGCAGTTATATATCATTGCAAAGATTAATAAATGTTGGAGTTCATTGATGTTACAAAAGTAATAGAATGGAAATAATGAAACAAATTTTTCAATCTTGTTCAAGTGGCTGACGATATATCGGCGATTCATCCAAATGTGTTGCCTGAAAGATACCAATATATTGATATGTCTGAAAAGAATTTAATTTCACAGAGGTTTTTCTTTTTTCTATAGACCTTGAAACTTCTAGTTTTTGCAGGCTTCTTGGATTTATTTATCACTGTACAGGGTACTCTCAACTCTCTTGAGAGCAAGTCATTTGTACAGAAATCTCGCCCTGTATCTTTTCATAGATATTTTTCATGGATATTTTTCATGGATAAATGATTAGCTTGAATTTAGTAGGCCTCAGCCTAAACAAATCGTCTTTATCTTGAATATATCCTAGTATCTTGTAACACTCTAACATCTTCATTCTGTCTATAGTCATGTACCTCTTAACATTGTGCCATCTAACGCTGTAATGTGTCCATCCTGTCTATAATTTTGTACCTACAAACATTGTACGGTACCTTGTAACACAGTTACATCTCCATCCAGTCTATACCTCTGTACCTCTCATCATTATATTTTGTAACATTGTAACATCTCTATCCAGTCTATAGTCTTGTACCTTGTAACACAGTAACATCTCCACCCAGTCTATAGCCTTGTACCTTGTAACACGGTAACATCTCCACCCTGTCTATACCTCTGCACCTCCCTTCATTATATTTTGTAACACTGTAACATCTCTATTCTGTCTATAGCTCTATCCCTCTTTGTACCTTGTAACTTTGTAAGGTCTTCATGCAGTCTATAGCCATGTGCCATCTAACCCTGTAAAGTCTCTATCCTGTCTATTACATTATACCTTGTAACACTGTAACATCTCCATCCTGTCTATCGCCCTGTACCTTGTAACTCTGTAACTTCTCCATCTTGTCTATAACATTATACCTTGTAACATTGTAACTTTTCCATCCTGTCTATAAAATTGCACCTTGTAACCCTTTCACATATCCATCCTGTCTATAATAACTTTGTACCTAGTAACATTGTAACATCTCAATTCCCAGGGTCCAGTGCCTGTCAAGTGGATGGCCCTGGAGTCTTTCACCCATCGTATCTACACCACCAAGAGTGATGTGTAAGTTGTCAGATCTGTAGACGCTGTTCTAGAAATTATTTTGTTTTTTTAAATTTAGAATTTTGATTCATTCAAATGTCAGCTGAAACCATTTTTGTTTTTAAATTAATAAGTTGAATATTTGGAGTGATTTTCTTTTCGTCAGAATCCGACGTTTTATGTTACTGTTGTACGTTGTACTGTATTGTAAAGTGCTCAGAGCCTGTGTACTTTAATGGGGGGTTAAGCACTATATATATGTCATTTATTATTATTATTATTATTATTATTATTATTATTATTATTATTATTATTATTATTATTATTATTATTATTTCCCAAGTGAGGACCTGTGCCTGGAAGAGTGTACTGCTTCGTCTTTTCCCTCTTTCTGCTTCCATCTGTCTGTCTTACCTTTTCCCTTTACTAATTGAGTGTTACTGCGTCAAAGTATTTCTCTTTACCAAAACATACAATCTATTTGATGCCTTTGGGATTCATCAAATTTGGACATTTGTAATGTGTGATTTTTCTGTCTACAGATGGTCGTATGGTATCATGCTATGGGAGCTGTTCTCACTAGGTAAGAAATCTGTTTGTGTCAGATTTATGCTCTAGTTCTGTCAGATTTATTCTCTTGTTGTGTCAGATTTATTCTCTTGTTGTGTCAGATTTATTCTCTTGTTGTGTCAGATTTATTCTCTTGTTGTGTCAGATTTATTCTCTTGTTGTGTCAGATTATTCTCTTGTTGTGTCAGATTTATTCTCTTGTTGTGTCAGATTATTCTCTTGTTGTGTCAGATTTATTCTCTTGATGTGTCAGATTATTCTCTTGTTGTGTCAGATTATTCTCTTGTTGTGTCAGATTTATTCTCTTGTTGTGTCAGATTTATTCTCTTGTTGTGTCAGATTATTCTCTTGTTGTGTCAGATTATTCTCTTGTTGTGTCAGATTTATTCTCTTGTTGTGTCAGATTATTCTCTTGTTGTGTCAGATTATTCTCTTGTTGTGTCAGATTTATTCTCTTGTTGTGTCAGATTTATTCTCTTGTTGTGTCAGATTTATTCTCTGTGCTCTTTTTGTGTCAGATTTATGCTCTTGTTATGTCAGATTTATTCTCTGTGCTCTTCTTGGGTCAGATTTATTCTCTGTGCTCTTCTTGGGTCAGATTTATTCTCTGTGCTCTTCTTGGGTCAGATTTATTCTCTGTGCTCTTCTTGGGTCAGATTTATTCTCTGTGCTCTTCTTGGGTCAGATTTATGCTCTAGTTGTATCAATTTTGTGCTGTGAATTTTGCGCTCTAGTTGTGTGTCAGATTTACGTTCCTCAGGCTTTTTGTTTGAATTTTTTTATGGTTTGAAAAATATTTATATTGCTTTTTTCAATGAGAGCTTATAGTAGGCCCTACAGATAATTCAAAAACATCTCTTTGTTCAAATGTATGAGGGTGATAGTTAATTCTGATAAAACTATCGTTTGTTTTGGTTTTTTTGTGTTGTTGAAATTGTAGATTTTGTAAGGAATTATTGCATTGAGGAGAAAAGAGTTTGAACTTTGTGAATATGTTCTGGTTCCTTCCATATGATCTTCTTTTACAAATGATGGGCATGAGAATGTCTTTCAGTGCTGTGACTTACCTGCTTGGCTATGATAAGAAATTATGTATTTCTTTTAGAATGTTAGATAAATGATATAACTTTTTTGGGGGGCTTTTTAAACTGTTTGTTAATATTCTATTTCTTTTATTGGATTGGGCAGACAATCACTGCAGGTCACTGCTAAAAAAGATATTGGGAATTCACTTTCAAGAACATCATTGTGGGTGGTTGGTGGGTGCTCTGGTGTGGTTTGCTTCTTTTTTCCTATCAAACATCTATCATCCTTATCTCCCCCCCCCCCCCCCTTGTTTTTTGTGTTTGTTACTCTCTTGTAACACCTCTAATCTTCGGCACTTATATGACCTTATTGTGTTGCAAGTGCCTTAAACATTTCCTAAAACAAATAGAACATCGTTGTTTTAATGATATTTTTGTAAAACAGAAATTCTGTTATCATCACCAGAAATTACCCCTATCACTCTTTATTGAGAATCTTTTTTATATTTGATAGAATTGTATATATATGCAAATTGAATTTACTCCTTCTCGCTTTCTGTCTGGTTTAGGCGGCAATCCTTACCCTGGTGTGGAGATAAACGAGAAGTTCATTGGTCTCCTCAAGTCCGGCTATCGCATGGAGAAACCTCAGTATGCCAGTCCTGAGCTGTGAGTATCATGTTCATCTGTGTTCTGCGTTCATCTGTGTACCACGCTCACCTGTGATTTTATTTCATTTTGGTTTACAGCTCTTTTTGGATTAAACTTTGTTTTAAGCGGACTCCACTGAGTGACGTATTATGCTAACAAAGTGAAAACTCAGCTGACAAGAGTCATCTTAACGGGAGGAGCTGCCCTTGAGGACCATTATCTATGTTTGTTGCCCGAGATCAAATCTAAGTAGGCTACACATATAAGTCTATCATAGCTACTGCGGTTGCTATGGAAACGGCTGCCATCTTGAAAATGAACAATGAATTTCAAATCCCTAAGGCTTTCTTATTTACAGACCAAATTTGGTTAGAGTATACCTGAACCAGACCTTATCAGAGTAACAGCAAGTTTTTTTCAATAAGTGCAAAAGAGAAAAAAAAAGGGAATTTTTCCAAAATATAAACAAATTTTTCTAAATTTAGGTTGCGTAATTGCTTGCCACTGGAAAAGTATTATTTTTTCACTAATATCTCTCTGTTACATTGATGGCAGCTTCGCCAACTATTCCTGAAAGTTTCAAGTCAAAAGGAAGAAAACTAAGGAATAAGTATAGGGAAAAAACTGCACAAAAATTAAATTTTGCGAAAACCGACTATAATTGTGAAAATTCACTATATTTATTAATCCATCCTCATGTTTTTAAAGGCAATTTGCCTGAAGAATAAGGAATCTTTCTCAATTGTCTCCAGCTATTTCTAGACAAAAAACTGGTTGATTCTTTAAAAAATCAGCCAAGATAAAATGTGCATTGCCTGACCCAAAATCAGCAAAATCAAGGGTCGCTCCTCCCCTTAACACTTTGCTGTCACACAGCCAGCAGTACAAAATATCCCATCTGGTCACCCAGCCAGGAGAATGACTGCAACAAACTTCTTGGGCCTGGTGCAGAACTGCGCTAGGTGACCGGAATATATAGTTTTTCTGGGCGTATTATTGCGCTCAGTGACCTCAAAGTGTTAAAGAATAACCAAATGTTTCTAACGACCCAACAATCTGTGTACAGCTACAAGGTGATGCTGAAGACGTGGAAAGTCGACCCCGACGAGCGACCTTCCTTTTCTGAACTGGTGTCTACCATGGGAGATTTCCTGGAAGCCAATGTTAAACAGGTGAGAGGGGTGGGGTTGGGGGTGGGGGGGGAAGAGATGTCAAACTGTTTTCCCCTGTATTTCCCTCTGGTACTACCTGTTTTTAAACAAGGAAGGATATGCAGTTGCGAGTGCCATAAAACTTTTACAAAACTGAAACAAACAAGCAAGGTTAACTTTTACAGTACCGTCGGCGACTCTAGTTGCCAGGCCGTAGTATGCCCTAACTACCGCCAGTGACCTTAGTTGCCGACACAACCAGGCACACTTAACATGATTAAACAACGAATGGACGCACTGCACTGAAGTAAATATTAAAGGAAGTCACTTTGTATTATAGCTGAATGGTTGATGAACCTTTATGAATTTTTAAATTGTGTTTCTTGGGCTGCCAAGGTTTTTTTTTATAAAAAAAAATTCTACCACAACTTCAGCTTTCTAGACTGG